TGTTTTTTTGTCAGGGCAAAGCACATAAAAGTTAAATTTGTGAAAAAAAAATTGCAGTTTCAGAGACAGAGAACAGATAAAAGTTACAGTCTTTCAAAAAAGTTTTTTGGGTCCTTTTCCAATTTTCAGTCCACCTGGCAAGGAGCAGAGGACAATGTGGGGTGCTACACTGGTAACTGAACACTGCTCTTTTGTTTTATTTTTTTCAAATACTGCGATGATAGCAAAAGAGCCAACGAATTTATTATAAAATAGATATTGTTATCTCAGAATCTGCATTATTTTCTTTTTGTGCAGTGAGCATAGGAAATACTTTGAATTCTTCAAATTAAACTTTTTAAAAACATTGTGATTATTTGCCACTACTGCTTTAATATACTTTCTCAGTGCTTCTTGCAAGCCAAGAATGCAGTTATATCCTGAGAGTTCCCAGCCCCTTCTGTCTTTTCTGACCTGGAAGCTAGTTTATAGCTTCCATCAGAACATTAATACCAGACAGGAGCACGTTATACCCTTTTGTAAGTCAAAGGACACTAGAATATTGCACATAATGAAGAAATGGCTTTACTTATTCCAAGTATTTGAAGTATTATGTATTTTGCTGCCTTTCTGAGTAAAGAAATTCCTGCTATCTTAATGATAGCTCCTTGCATTTCTTCTCCTCAGAAATCATTGACATCTGACCAAGAAAGTAAAATCTCAGGGATCAACTTACTTTGGCCATTAATTGCACGGAAATGACCCAACAGAAGGCAGCTGCTCTTACTCAGAATGGCAATAAAGTACAAACCCGAAACAGAACTGACTACTGAAAGGTAAAAATTGAGTCACGCTCTGCTGTAGCTGTAACATAAGTTTCCCCACAATGGGAAAGCTGGTACCCCAGCTAAGGGGTAAACCAAACTGTGTTCTCAGCAAAGTCTTCAAATTATAAATATTATTCGCTATTAAAAAAACCATATCCCAGAAAATCTTCTGGGTTTTTTTTCTAAAATTATTACCGTGATCCTAATAATGAAGTGGGTCAAACAGGTTTGTCTGTTCTTAAGCCTGCCTGTACCAAAGCTAGCCCAACTTCAGCAATTTAGCCTTATTGTTTCCAGCTGGCATTAGATGTTTGCCATTCTAAGAGAGTTATCACCAGCAATTACAAGCAGGACAAAGGGTGCACACTAAAAATCACTACTATGAATAGCCTGTGCATTTAATGTAAGATAAACTGGCAATAGCAGGATGTTAGTGAACTTTACGAAGACCTCATTCTTTCCAGAGAATGGTGGGGGAAAAAAAGGTGAAGCAACAAAAATCAGTAAAATGCAAACCCTCTATCTCATATTGATAATTTTGAAAGAAGAAAAGAGTTTCTATACCATAGTTGAGAACAGCAAGAGGCAAAATGCGAAGAAACTCAAATTTTTCAAGTGTTATGTGAAGACAGCAACTTAATACCCTGTTCATAATTGTACTGCTTCTTCCTTTATGTATCAAGGTAAATACATTACTGAGATTGTTTACGCAACAGCTGCAGAAATTCATACCAATAAGCCTGCGTTCAGGTGGAAGCTGAACAGCTGTCTGATCTGCAAATCTGCAAAGGATCATGTGCTCCTGGAAGAAGAAAAAAAAAAAAAAAAAAAAAAAAAAAAAAAAGAAAATTCTTGGTCCAGTAGCATTTCCCTCTTCCAAATAAAGTAAGAAAAATCTAACTAAATATTTAAAAGTATTAAAAATGCTATCAAGTTGAAGACTGTCTTTCTAGAAAAATTATCTGTGTGCAAATCCTAATTTTGATACTGCTTGGGCTTGTAAATATGTGTGTAAATGAAGTGTTTGTAACCGTGACCACATTTCTACTCATGAGTATTTGTTTCTTGCTAAATTTTCTCTAATTCTCTGCAGCAGTTGAATTGGATGCAATGTATACAAGATAGCATTCTCCAAAGACATATTGCAGACTAATTTTGCCTTCAATTACTGATGAGCAACGCAGCTGCCTTCTGGCACAATCACCATAGGGGAGCATCTCTACATCAATAAGCAGCAAAGACAAAATTCTTAAATAGGTGATTGGAGCTACTGCACATTTCTCCCAATCAGTGATTTTCAATCCCAGAAGAACCACCTTGTGGGTCAAACTTCCTCTGCTCTGCCAAATCCATTCAAGATCAACCCAAAAGATCCTGAAAGCAAGACTGATCCTGAAGGCAAAAAATACCTGGCTGTGAACAGGAAAGTTTCCTACATCAAAATGAGCACAATTCACTTTCAAACTACCCCTGCTCCACTTCAAGTTTCTGCAGAGGCTTCTAAAACAGCTGCTGTTGATTTCTTCCTGCCTTGTCCCCCAGGGGTATGGTGCAGTGAAGGGTTAGCCCCACCACCTTACTCCCTGCTTAGATCACTACGCAAGCAGGCAGAACCCCATCCTCGTTTGCCTTCAAAAACCACCGCCTACGCTAGCATAACGGTTTCTCAAAGACCAGCCAAGCTAAGGCAGGCAAGTTAGCCAGATGGTGAGAGAAAAAGCCTTGAAGGTGTAGCAATGAAATTAATGCTCTAATGACAGCAGTGCTCTTTGGGACTGCTGCAATATTAAGTACGGGACAGAGTAAATCAGAACCATTTGATAACTGTACAACATTCCCAAGTCTCCTATAATGTCATGGGGAGAAAACAGAAACGGACAATGACAAAAAGTGCTCTGCTAAGCAAAGCTTCCAGAGTTACAGTTCTGAAAAAAGGACGTGTCTTGCATCAAAAAAACTTTTTTTTTTTTTTTTAATTCTTGTCTGATATAAAATGATGATTTTAAAGGTTTGGTTCCTGTAACAGATGGAGAGAGCAACTTCGCCTAAGGATACTTCAGCTTTCTTCAGTATCCTGAAGTAAGGATACTTACTCCAGCTTTTTATTAGGGAGACACAAACATCCAAAAGTCTTCATTTCACAAAAAACCTGAATGAAATCCCATCTTCATATTAAATCAAGAAGGTAACTCCCTCCACAGTACAAGCCATCCAATTAATAAATTAAATAGACACCTGACCACAAAAAGTTTGCCCACATATTATGAAATAAAATATTATTGCTACTTGATATTCAAATATTACTCCTTTAAATAAATTTAAAATATCTTGAGGCATGGATATTTGTTCCCTAGTACAGCTCATTCACATGAAGGTTTTCAGCTCACAGCTCCGTAAGAAATATGCAAGCAAAATGAGAACGTGTTATAACACGGTTAGGACTTAAACATGTTATGCCCAGTCCATTCAGTTCAGATATGGCTGGTTTTGTAGTACAAAGGAGATGAAAACGTTAAACCCAGATGTCACTACTGGAGAATGGAGAAGGAGAGCCACAAGCAATGTGGCTGCTGTTAGGAGAGAAGAAGCAGTGATAGGCAGCTTGGAGAGAAAAAGAGGGATTCAGAGGAGATGGAGAAGATCCACATTAGCACAGAAGCCTTAACCAGCCTTCAGGCACCCAACACAACCCAGCTCTCTGCAACATCAGGTTCTCAGCTCATCCAACTAGACCAGAGCCAAGGTAAGCCTCACCACTTAACCTGAAACTCTGGACTGACTCTAATGCCTTGGCTTCCTAGAGAGATGATCCAAAAAGTTAAACTAGAGCCCAAGTTATGACTACATCGTATCCCCATGACACAGTCATTAAATTGTCACATTCCCTGTTGGCAGGAATAATAAAAGCATTTCTAAAATAATGACGATAATTATAAACTGCCCAAACTTTGTGTGTGCATAAACAGTTAACTTGGTTACTAGAACACCCATGCCTTCAATTCCTATTAAGTTTTCAAAGCTGTACGTGCAAAGTTATTCAGTTTTACTTTCCAATTCTCCTATAGGGAGAGTGTCTTGACAAATAAGAGTCTCAAAATGTATCATGGTAGAAATCTACAGCTATCATAACCTTATTCTTTGGAGCTATAAACTAATCAATTACAGCATAATGTTCTCATCAAAAAAGTTTTGGAATTGCCAGACTTCTGGATGTCTTTTTAGATCTCACTGAAATGAAAGATAAGAGAAATGAATTTAAAATGGGAACTGGAGGGGGGTGACACAGACAACGTCTGGCTAACACATGGCAGCTCTGGCTACTAGCCAATAACCTGTAACAATTTATTAATATGAAATATAAAAATGCATATAGCTAGCTGTATAACAAAAGTTATTTATAACTAGGATTATTTGAGGCACCAACCAGCCTAGACCATTTGTCTTACATTATTAAGAGCAGCAATATTTTTTAGCATTGTCCTTGGCCCCTGTGCCCTTCTGCAACACAAATAATAAAATGCTGGAACTTCTACATGGTTGATAAAACCTCTGTGGAATAACAGATTAAGAAAAAAATTCACTGAGCTTTAATGAGATTACATACACTGTCCTGATCTAGGCATCCTTGACTTTATAGTTGTCACCATGTCCCTCTGTACTGTCAACAGGTCTACTTTTAATAATACGTAGGTAAATGAACTTTTTCTGAAGTGAAACCCGAGTTCTTCATGATTATGCGTTACAAACATATAAATATGTTGAAAATAATGTTAAATCAAGGGAAAAAAATAACGGCAGGTCCAAATCCACTGTGCCGCTTTTATCATCTCAATCTGTGGTCATTTATTTCCATGTAAATTAGTAAAGTGTACATAAACCAGACTGTCATGAAGATAACATTAGTGTATTACCAGATAACTGAACTTCCCTATATAAGATGGCTGGAAATTTTCTGAATTTTTTTAAATGCTCTTTTACTTGAGAATTAAAAAGGATAATCTCCATTTTCCTGCTATATATAGCACCTTTGTTATGATCATTGTCCGAAAAAACATTTGGGTATTAGAAATACCATCTTTCTCTCATATTTCTGTTACAAAGGATTATTCTGCATCTCTAAAATTCATTTTCTATATTGTAAACACCAAGACCCTTGTCTAGGATTTGGCATGTAAAGTTTCTATATAACCTTGCTTCTCTCAAATGGAAACATTTTCTTTCCATGCCCCATTAAGTGCATCTACTCATCACTAACTAGTTTAAACACACTGGACAAAGCTTAACAGATCAGTACCTGTTGTCTGCTGTCCACCTCTCTGCTCTTGTCCTTTTTCACTCCCCTGTTATCTGTTATCTTCATTCTGTCAGATCTGCCTATCTCATTGATTCTTTCTCCCACTTTTCTCTCAATCTCCACACAGACCCTGGCTCCCCCCAAGGTCAAAACACATTTGATTATTTTTTTAAATCATTTTGAATAATGTTTTTAAAACAATACTGCATAAAATTCTTGCTGATGAGTATAAGCTCTTCATACTCACTATGTCCAGTCTTCTAGACATAGAGGGAGAAATCTAATCTTTAGCAGAAAATAACATCTATAAAATCAATAATTTTACCTAAAAAATAATCAGGCATTTCCACAGTATAAACAGTTGTATTTAAGACCTAAATAAATTGGTATCCTGTAATTGTTAACTGATAAATGTTGAAGTATCTTAGGAATGGCCCGCTTACGCATTATGATAAAAAAAGTTCTTTTGTGGAGAAACTATTTAGTTTTATTGAAGAAAAAAAAGCCTTAAAAAATGGATGGTGGAGAGAAAGCAACACAATGACATCTGCACTACTATTGGACATTTCACATAACACATGCTCCTCCTTGCAATTAAAAGATAACCACTTATATTTCATTTGATAAGAAGACTCAGTGAAACGCAGGAAACTGCACATAACCCTCCCTCTCCCCCAAAACTTTTACATACCTTGTAGGACAAAATTTCTTTGAACTGATGACTGAAAAAAAAAACAGAGCAATTAAATCAACATCTAAAAAAAGCAGAAGTGGAAAATAGAAGCAATCATTACATACTTGAACACATTTTAAACAAAACAGCAATATCTTGAACACATTTTAAACAAAACAGCAATATCTGTATCCTACAGAAAGGCATTCAAAAAAAACCAGAAACCATTACAGTTCCAGTTCACTGGAAAAGGAAAACTGCATTTGGTGTCGTCTTTTTTTTTTTTTCCTATTGTATTATTCATAAAAATTCTCTCTTTAAATCATTATAAATGGTAACATAGATTTACTGGCATTTCCACGTTGTCACATAAATATTTCATATTACATGTACACAACCTCTAGACATGCCTATATTTTGTTTGTGTCACAGAAGTAAGGTGCCTCTACAATGGAATTCAGTATAGAGCACAGGCAATACGGGGACATAGGCAGGCTATCACGTTTTATGATCATATAAAATGAAGAAAAAAGAAAAAGCGAACCTTAAATGTAGCTTGAGCTAGGGTTGATATGTTATGAACCAAATAACTTTCTATATAGGTTTACAATGTTAGATTCAAAATTTTAGCAAACAAAACCATAATTTACATTCTTGCAGCATCTACAGCAACAAAAGTCTTCTAACATAGTGAGCATTTCCAGTCTTCATGATCTAAAAATGTAACTGGTCAAAAGTTAAACAGTACCCAGTAAATTTTAAAACAAGCCAACGGAGAAGTGCTACATGCCTGCTAACTTTAGACGGCTTAAAATTTTATTGCCTCTTCCTTAAGAATATTTATTTGTTTTACTGTGTCACAAGACAAAACAAAAAGGGACACACATAAAGAGATGGAAGAATCAAACTGACTAAGAAAACACTGTTAAATGCAAAGTTTCTCAAACTGACAAATTCTAAATATTTACTCTCCACACACTTCTGTAACAGCACACTTCGATATTATACAAAAATATGAAAAATATTTAACATGGATGCATAAGGTTTTTTAGATTTGTTGATTCTTTTTATAACAGCATGTTTCAGTTTCTTATTTTAGCAAATATGTACCTACAACAATGTTGTAATTCCTAGCAGAACTAAATCTGATTCATCGTGGACATCCAAAATGCACAGCTCAGCTTTATGAAAAAAAACCACAACCCTCTTCCCCTATCTAGTTCTGCCTCAGAAAGCTGTTAGCCTCTTATCTTCTGCTGCTTTATGCTTAGCTTCTACATTTTATTTATATCAAAGGCATTAAAATTCTTAAGCCTAAGATATATAAGTATCTCCAACATGGCAGATTAGAAGAAGACAAAATATCTACACAGTCCATTGAAAAAGTATTAAAAATATGAACTGAAATACAGGAGAGCTTGTCTACTTGGGAATAAATCAGAAGAGTTTCACAAGTGGTATAAAGCAGACCCATTTCTTTAAGTTGATTGGTTACATCTTTCTCCAACATTAAAATGTCAATTCCCCTTCTTACAGTAATTTTCATGAGTTTTCTATTAACTTTGTGATTTCAAGGTAAAAGGTCTGCATATTACATGGACTTCCACATACTGTTTCTACTGTGTTGATGGTATAAAGTCTTCTGAACTATGAATAGATAAATCCAGAAAAAAACAATCCAGGAATTACTGATCTGTCTCCCTTTCAGGATGGGTTTGCAAAGAGAAACAGGAGGAAACAGTTGCATTACAACTGTGAACCAATTTAGCCTAGATACTTGCAATGATCTTCAATTGATTAAGTCTATACTCTGTTAGTATTTTCTTCCTTCATTTAAGTTGATATTTTGAAGTTTATCTTGTTAGCTTTAGTTTACCTTTGTGGATATTTAAACTTCACTGTGTTTTGAATGAAGCCATAGCAACAAGGGGAGATGACAAAGGCTGCTCGTGCCTTGATGCAGTGTTCGATCACCATGTCTGTTGCCACACCACATGCATGCAGAGCCACCTACAGTGTTAAAAACAAAAAACCAAGCAAATTCTTTATAGCAATATTCTACACACAATTCTGTTGCAGTATTTTTTTTGGTTGACTGAGTTACTTAAATATATGAAGATGTTTTTGCAGTGAAAGCTGTTATGCCAAAGGCCTGGTCCTTAATTCCTCAGTTTTTCATTCCTCTCCTTCATATCTATGCTGAGGAAAATGTATGGCCTATTCCATTAAGAAGGGAACCATCAACACCAAACAAGGGTCACTTGCCAAAAGCACTCAAAAGGGAGGTACGCTGCATCGTGATATTCAACCAATGAAAAACAAAGCTCCAGAAAAATATTAAAGTCACTGTGGCGATTAGTCAAAAGTCTTTGTCAAGCAAAAATGACTTAGAAATACAAAGAACTGTTTCAAAACTGGATTTCAACCTAGCAGTAGGAGAAGTAACAGATATACCTGAAGGTCGCATTTAAAGGACAACATTTAAGCATAAATTTTGATCATTTGATTGTAAGGTACTGAGTAAAAACTTTAGAAAACAAACACGGGGTGGGGGGGGGGACACGACATCAAATACAACTTGCTCTCCTTTTCTTTTTTTTCCTCTTTATTCTTTTCTTCCTTTTTCTTAGTGATGGGCGCTCAGACTAAAATCAGAATGCTATTCAATCACAACAGCTATCTGTGAGCGTTGATGTGTGTTTGGGCAACGCACAAGTTGTACCCAAATTCTTCATGCTCTACTACAGAAAGGCAAGTTATTGCTGTACTCAATGTATTGCAAGGGAAGGCAAGCGGGTCTCTCCTGTGATACCAAATGGCCCAGGTGAAATGGAGGCATTACCTTCTCTGCCTTCTTCCATGTACTCAGTAGCTCAAAGAGTAGGCCTGGTGCATACACATTGATCTAAGTTTTCATTAAACTAAGGATATTTTTGAGGCACATTTTTAATTTTATGCAGCGGTGCGGATTTGTAAAACTGCATTCTTTTCTTTGCTTTTTGTTCACTGTAAATTTAGGAAAAAGGTTTAAAATTGCAAAGCTCAGGTTTCAGGGTTCAAAGTTGTTTTTCACGGTACAGCAATTGGAAGATAAAAACTTTGCTCTCAGATACAGATTAAAACAAGGACTTTTTTGTTTGCAGACTGCCTGATGTAAGCTCAGCTGAGCAGACCATTAATCATCAACTGAACTATAACTGCATACAGATGGTAACAAATATTCTTGTCTCAAGCAGAACATTAAAAATTAATAAGAAAATTTCACAATGGAAGTTTTCTGCTTGTGTGAAATAAACAAAAAAATAAAACTAGTTTAACATCAGAGATAGATTCTTAATATCACAGCTATTAGATTATCATAGAATATAACTATAGTTACTGTCCCATCTATCCAAGCAGAAAACGAAGACCTCTGCTTTGCTTGCATGTTTGGAAAAGAGACCTTAAAACAGCAGTGGATAAAACCAGTAGCTTTGCTGAGCTGGTATGAACTTTTACAACAACTGATTTCTTCTTTGGGTTTCTCAGAATCAATTTAGTTAAGTGAAAAATCACAAGTAAAATTCAAGACAAAGCTTTCTCAGGATATCCTACGTATTAAACTCCCTATCTGAAATGAAATAAAAAGTGAGGACTACTAATTTGGTTCATAAATCCATACATCTATAGACACAGGAAAACAAAGTGGACCCTGAAGAGAGCAACAGAGCTAATGCAGTGTGAGACCATTGCCCTGTATTACTCCTCCAGTGCTGCAACCCCCCAGAACAGCCTACTGCACACAGAAAAGTGAAGGGAAAAGAATGCTTCATGAAACCTCAGGTTCACTTTAGTGATCTTAAAAAGATAAGAACTCAAGACACTCAAAAATATACACCCCCCAATCAAACCTTAAACTTTTCAACTTCTCACAAATTAGCTGAGATACTATGAGTACTCCATAAGTATTAAAAACAACTAAGATCTCAAAGACTCCTCTGGGTGTTGGCATGTAAATGAACACTGCATGCAAATATCCGGAAAGCTTTCACTTTTAGATTGAAATCCTTTATTATGACTGTTGTACATAATAAAGTGCCATTTATTACGGCGCTTGTACAACAACATGTAATATTATAATGTAATAGTAAGTTTGGCATTCAAACAGGTTGTTTCAGAACCTTGATCTTCATTACCCCAACAATTCATAAGGCCAGAAACTATATGTGGAGCAAAAGGGAAGCGGTCAACACATTTTTCTTAACCTGCTTTTGAACTCCTGGCAGATAACAGATAAGAAAATAGCTAAGTAATGCAGATTTGATGTCAAGGTAACTAAAATGCATATAAACATGTTTTAAATTAATACCACAAGCAGAGAGATCAAGACTTCTGTCATGTTCATTTTTCTCTACCTCTTTAGATTTCAAGTACTGTAACCAGTGAATTTCTTATCATCATGTCCACCTTCACATTTACACTGTATTGTTTTACTGAAAATAGTGAAGTCATCCAATGAGTGAATAGATTTACAAGCCTCAGAAGATGGGTTCATGGATGACGCATTGCCAAACTTTGTACATATCTATGTATTATGGTATTATATTGTCATTTTTGTATCAGATCAGTGTTTATGACAATCATAATCATTTAGGTTGGAAAAGACCTTTAAGATCATCAAGTCCAACCGTAAACCTAATACTGCCAAGTCCCACTAAACCATATCCCTAAGCGCCACATCTACATGATACAAAGGCAGCTACACTTTACATTATTTACCTTCAAACACATCAAACACTTGTGCTACTGGCCAGCAAACCAGCCAGCTCCTGTCTTAAATGTGGCTGCATAGGAAAGTTAATCCTGAGTTAATGAGCTAATTCTGAAGAGCGAATCATGGTATGACACAAACTAATTCTGAAGCTGAGACTGATGGAGGTCTCCTAAAAAGGGAAAGCTCCAGGTTTGTCTGTTAAATAGACTACAGAATCAAGTCAAAGAAACTGAAATCACAGGCCTGGAAATGAAGAATTTCCAAGTGAATTTTTCTGACATACACTTCAATGTTTTCTTTGTCACAAAACTCAGAAGAGAATGTCATACTTTTTTTAAAAATAAAAACTCCACAGAGATATTTAACTTAGTATTAACCTTAAAAATAGAGCAAAAAAAAAAAAAAGACGACAGGAACTCCAGTGATCACAAAATTGGAGACTCTTTTCACTGAAAAACTATTACACATTTCACACACAGAATTCAATAAATTATTCATGAGATCCTGATTTTTTGAAATAGATCTCTAGTTCATCCACTGAGATTTATATGACAACGTAGCACAGAAAATAAAGCTAGAGAACTGGAAATTTACACTTGGAAGGACTGGGCTAAAACAATTAATTCTCTCTTTCTCCTACACTATATTTCTTTTCCTTTATTAAATAAAGCAACCAAATAGTTAAACAGCACTGCTCATGTACCATAAACCTTCAGCATTAAACATCCTAAGCTACAGCCAAAACAGGCCCTTGGATAGATGATTTAAAGAACATTCAGACTCACACTGAAAGCTTGGGGCTTGCTGCAGAAGTTCATATTCTATTAACAGAAAACAAAACTGGAGGACAGGAACCTTTACAGAGTTACGAAAGACTATTTATGCCTTACCGTTCACTAGGGCTGCAGAATTCTGGAGAGAACATTTATCTCATTACTTGCAGGGTCTAACACGGATGCTTTGAATCAGTATTCAAATCACCTACTTTGCTCCTGCAGAAGTCGGATTCCTGCTTTGATCTGTTCATTTACAGTTAACTGGGAGTCAGAGCATCACCTGTTGACTGCAATAGGAGTGCTCAGCATGAGTCCTACAAAACTGAGATATCATTCTGCCTTTATAAATACAGAATCATAGAATCGTTTAGGTTGGAAAAGACCTTTAAGATCATCAAGTCCAACTGTTAACCCAGCACTGCCAAGTCCACCACTAAACCATGTCCCTAAGCACTGCATCTACCCGTCTTTTAAATACCTCCAGGGATGGGGACTCAACCAC